TTGATAAACATTTTCCGTAAAGAACTTGAAACCCAGTTCCAACCGTAAACACCTCTTTTTGACACTCAAATCCGGACAGAATCCGGTTCGCTCGGACAGCCCCTCAGACCATCAAAATACAACTCATTCAGTACCCAAATCACTTTGGAAAGCTCTGAAATTTTTATATGTTATAGACACAAGTGTTTTTAACAATTTTCGTGAAGGAAGTTTGTTGAAATAAGGTCTAGAAATTTTATAAAAATTCGGAAAGACAAGAAGGTCGGGTGAACAGTAACTCCGGCAGCCCTGAGACGGTCCGAAAGCCGACCTCCGAATGACCCCAAACAACTTCCAAAAATTCTGAATTTAACGTACGTTATACCTCAAGATGTTAGGAACAAATTCCATAAAGAAAACTTCCTCAGATTCGACCCACAATGATCACCAAAAAATAACAAGGCGCAGAGGTACAGTAACAACCAGAAATCCGAGAATCATTAAACTTGCACCATTAAGCAAATCAAGCTTATACAACCACTAAACCAACTATCCACAGCCCCTAACCCATCCCTAGACATGCCATTAGTAACCCACTAGCCTAACCAAGGATTAGGAAGTCACTTACCAACGGTTTAAGCAAGAAAACCGGTGAACAGGCAAACTGAGCTCCGGCGGTGAACAAGGCTGGATGGGAATCTCCGGCGACTTTCCGGCGACCAAGCTGGGATGGTTGGAACAAACACAAGATGGTGGCGGTCGGGGTACCCAGAGTGAGGCCTAAAGAGAGAGAGAAAGAGGGGAAAATGGGTGTTTTCCAGTTGGTTTCTGGGCTAGTTCAGGCTTTTGTGAACAGTGCGCACTCTAGCAGCCGGACGGGTGGGTGGCCGGCGGTTCAGGCGGTGAGTCTGGTGGCGTCTAAACCGGAGAAGCAAGGTGGAGGTGATGGTGCTTGGAGCTTCGGCCGATTCCAAGGAGGGAGGGAGAGAGAGCTCCGGGAATAAGAAGAGAGAGAGAGAGAGAGAGAGAGAGAGAGAGAGAGAGAGAGAGAGAGAAAAGCAAGTCAACCCACTCAAGTGCAATCCAAGGGTCCAAAATTGATCTTGGTGAGCAAGCCAAGATCTAAGGGCCACGAAAATTCCTAGTTTTCAATTAAAGAAAAAGATTAGAAGACACTAATTCAAATAAACACTGAGAGAGGTATACTGGTCTAGGTCCGCACCCTGTCCAAATTTCACTTTTCACATATCCCGGGCAATCTCGAGGCTGGCCACAATAATATCGACACCGTCCAATTAAATTCGTCCCGAAACTCCAAGAAATTTGACACCAAGGTTTGGGCTCTAAATAACGACCAAATTCGATCGAGTGTGATTCTAGCGAAATCTCAATTTTAAAAACAATAACCGAGAGTGACCAGTTCCCGGGCGAGATTTTACTATAAGTACACTGACGAATTACATGTTTTATAAATCTCAAAAATGGGCCGAAATTCGGAATGTCACAGTATCATTATTTCTCATACATTTGGTTGAACCCGATATTTACCTATTACGTGATGTTTTTCGTGAAAGTTTTTAAAAACCATTTCAACAACTTATTCATTTCCCCTTTAGGTTGCAGAGTTTGTCCTAACAGTTATCATACGACGGGTTGTCACATACAAGTTGTCATATAATATGTCATCATGTGGCACAACTTGTCATTACACGACAAGTTAATATCACATGACTTGTCATCACATGAGCCATCATCACATTGCATGGGAAGTCATCATATGACCTATCATCATATGACACGTCGTTATATGACATAACACGTTATTGTATGATATGTCATCATGTGACACATCATTACATGAGACAATCTTACATTACATGTTGCATATGCTATGTCATCATCATGCATACACACATTCATGTTTTCAAAATACACAAGCACAAATGGCACACGAAGTCTGTTGGGACTAACTATGCAACCTAAAGGGAGGGTGAATAAGTTGCTTCGAAAGCTATTACAGTTTTTTGTGAAAAACAGCGAGTAGCAAAGAGATATTGGAAAACACCAGATGTATGAGAGACAAAGTATCACTTGTATGCTAGAGATGATAAACAAAAGTATAAACAGCTGCAAACAAGGATATATAGTGGTTCGGCTTTATCCCTAAGCCTACGTCCACTCTCACCACTAACAACCACAAGTTGGGCTGGATTACACTAGTAATTTGCTGATCAAGTTACACTTCAGAAAGCACCACTCCTATCAGATTGTAGATCCCACTACCAAGAGGTGGATGCTGCTATTACTTGGTACACTTGAAATTTCAACACAATTACAATACAGCAAGTGCTATTGTGACATTCTGAAATCCGACCCACTTGGGATTTATGAAATGAATGGTTTATGGACGTGCTTGTAGTTAGATCTCGTCCGGAATTGATCACTTCGGGAATACTAACCGTTAGGGAAAGGCTAATTAGGGATTTAAATTCGTGCGACCAAAGAACTCGATCGTGAACCGACTTTCGACCATGAAATTGTCGAGGTGACATTTTGAGCCAATGTAGGCTCATCCAAGGATAGTTAGGGATCAATTCGCCATTGTCATACGAGTGGATCGCGGGTGATTCCGCTTGACCACGAAATGAATTCACAAATGACCCCGAACCTATACCAAACGATCGCGCCCATCGGAACTAGCGATTGATCCTCGCGATTAAGTGACAACCGAGGTCGTCACGACCCGAGTGAACTTGAACGTGGCTTGATTCAGTATCGGCCACGGGTCAAAAGTGCGAATTTCCCCAAAAGACACCCGTTAGTCTGAGATACGCCCAAGTTACGTTATTTAAAATTTAGTCATTAATTAGAGACCAAGTTGGACATTAAAAATTTAGAAAGTCACGACAGAATATTTGGACGATGTTGTTATTAGCATGATCAGCCTTAGAATTGTCCGAATCCTTCAGAAAAATCGAATTTCGGCGAGAAATAGAAAATGACCGTTTTACCCTTGAGACTTTGTTAAGGCCAAGTGTAAATGGGGAAGGGCATTTTGATCATTTCACTCTCACTTTAGAAATGACAATTTTTGGACAATTTTACCCTTGGACTTTTTGGGAAATTCCCATTTTACCCTTGGATATTTTGGAAAAGATTCGATCTCGGCCGTTGATCTCAAGATAAGATCGAATCGTGGCCGTCGATTGGAAAAGTAGAGAGAGGGGCAAGATGGTCATTTTGGCCAAAAGGGACACCAATTATTGGTATATTAAGCCATTTTCTCTCTCTCTCTTCATTTCTCCCCTCTCTCTCACGGCTCACTCTCTCTCTCCCCTCCCCCACCGGCCGATCGTCCCCTCTCCCCTTGGCCGTACCGCCGCCGTCCCCGGCCACCGTCCGCCCGTCGCCGCCCGTCCGGTCACCGAGCCGTGCCCTCACCACCCTCACGCCACCGCCGTCTCTCATCCTCCCTCTCGGCGACCTCTCTCTCCCTCCCTTGGCTGTGACTAGCCGGCCAAGCAAGCCACCGCCGCCATCGCCGATCACTGCCGATCAACTGGACTGCCGCTGCCACCGCGTGACCGCCGGCTCATCACCCTCTCTCTCTCTTACTTGGACGCGCTTAGGATTCCAAGTAAGTTGCAATCTAAACCCTATTTAGGATATCGGGTATTAACGGACTAGTTTAGACACGGTTTAGTCGGTTTTAGGGGCTGATTTGGATGAGGGGCCGTAGGGATGAAATTGTGGTATTTTGGTGGTAAATTAGAGGCCAAATAAGGGCTGTGATTGGCTGGATTGGATGCTGTGATTTTCTGTTTGGCGCGTAGATTGGATGTTTTGATTCGGCAATTAATTGCGTGAAATTGCCGTGTAGCGCCGTGATTGTTGTGCCATGGTTTTTGTGGTGAAAAATGACGTGCTATATAATGGTTGTATGTACGTATGTGGGCTGAATTGTGACGGTCGAATTTGATGCATTTTAGCGTGTTTGATTAATGCCCGAGCATGTAAAAGTGTGAGATTTGAGGCGTGCGATATGTGTGTGATCACTAAAAAGCCCTGAGGCGTGTTTACGCGGGGTACAGATAAAATACAGCGGGTTGGCATGTTCGTGTGATCACTAAATCCCTGAGGCGTGTTTACGCGGGGAATTGAACCGGCCTGAGGCGTGTTTTCACAGGTCGTGATACGAATGTGTGGGGCCTGAGGTGTGTTTACGCGGGCCGTGGAAAGAGGTTGAAAGTGAAATGTGTGATGTGGAAAGTGAGAATGTGATCGGGCTTGAGGTGTGTTTATGCGGATCGCGATAGGAATGTGTGACGTGGCAAGTGGAGAGTGAGATCGGGCCTGAGGTGTGTTTACGCGGGTCGCGATAGGAAGGTGGGGCTTAAGGCGTGTTTACGCGGGCCGAGGAAAGAGATGGAAAAATGAAAATGGTGTGATAGTGCATGAATAAGAATGAAATGTGGGGTTCGGAATTGTTGTGTGTACGACATGTGTTTTTGGGTATGAGAATGGCTTGGAATGTGCATGTGGTTTGAAATTCGTGTATTTGAGACTAATGTGCAGGTTGTGCCCAGGTAAGTACATTTGTGTGTGTGATATGTATGTATTGAGTGATTGTGTGTTTGGATCTGTCTGGAGATACGTGGTAGCTTAAGTGGGGTTTAAGCTGTCAACTTATTGAGATTCGTCTCATGGTTGTTTAAGCAAATCCTTTCAGAACCCCGCCCTGAGCCATGAACCTACCATCGCCGCCGCCGCAGCGTTTTAGGATTCCGATGCACACCGACCATAATGTTGTAGAGTACCCGATAGACGATAATATGACCTGGATCAAGTACACTACTGTAGTCTGGGTAGACATAGGGTTACCCCTCTGGCAGGCCCACACCTACACCGCCTGGATGTTTAGGGACGGGTTGGATGAGTTTGGCCCCGTCTGTGGCTTTGATGTGCCGTTTGACGGAGTAGGGGATTGGGATCCGTCAGCCATACCCCCTCCTGACGGCGAGATGACTAGTCTGGAGACTAGCCTAGCACAGTCCGGACACCAGCCTGCGCCTGCAACACCTGAGCCTTCAGAGGCCGAGCATGATCCGGAGCCGGAAGAATCCCAGGCGGGGTACGATCCTATGGAAGTAGATCTAGGTGTAATACCAAAGGAGGAGGAACCCGAAGAAGAAGAAGACCCCGAGGAAGAGCCTGAAGAAGTACCAGGAGAAGAACCCGAGGACGAGTCAGAGGATGAGCCTGAGAGTGAGCCAGAGGAGGAACCGGAAGAGGAGCCTGATGAGGAGGAGCAGGTAGAGGTTCCACTAGAGTCGGATGATTTGGATAACCCGATTGAGATCGAGGCTGACTCGGACTCCTCAACGGAGCAGATAGCTCAAAGGGATTTAAACTCGAGTTCTGAGGAGTCGGATTCGAAGTGGACGCCATCTCGAGGGCGTAGGGGCTAGTTTAGGGGTTAGGTAAACCTTTTTAAGTGTTCCATTTTTGGGAGATAGGGTATACCCAGGCTACTCATCTTTTTGATATCGGTGGTATATAGTTTAGAAGTTCGGTGTGCATGTAAATTATGTGGATTGTATGTGATGGATATTGTATAAGTTTGAATTGGTAATGGATGTATATTCTCCCTTATACCCCAAGTTAATTTGTCTGGGTGTTTGTGGCTTTCGCTAGTGTTTTATATCTCTGATGGTTTGATTTGGGTCGGCGTTGTTTCCTGGGGCATCGCATTAATTCGACCTAAGAGGGATGCCACAAGCTCGATGGGGGTTCGGGGCGTGACAACTATCGACAAGCAGGAGCATTTTGCTCAATATACAGCAAGTAAGAGATTTCAGAATTCTTATAAGCACACACACTCTCACTCTAACTTGTTGGCTTCAGAGGCTTTCTCTTTTATAGGCATCTTCAAACTAGTCATTGCTGATGTCCCTGAGAGCCAAAGTAGCCATTAGAGTTGTTGGAGTTGCTGTCCTCAAAGCTAACTGCCCATACAGTCTATTCCTAAACTTCTACATACTTTCTTGAAATAGCTTATGTTGTTTTACTCTAACTGCGATACTAACTACCTGTCAGAACGACTCTTCTCCTTTCTGTCGGATCTTCTGCTGTGCCTATGCAGTCCCAATGGCTATTATAGTGACATAACGGTCATATTAAATGAACCGTTACTTAAACATCACCAATTACTAGATCTCTTCAGTTTGAACAAGACATCGTCATTTAGCTGATATTTGAGATTGATGGTGCTGTTTACACAATCCTTCAAGGACAGTCTTGTGATCTTCTCTTCAATGAATAATATTATGATTATCACTCAGTCCTTTGAATATATCTACACTTAGATAATGTAGATATTATACCAAGAATAGTTTGGGTATCATCAAAATTATTTAGAGATGTTTCTCCAACAATCTCTCCCTTTTTTATGATAACAAAATTATACTGAAGATGTGAAAAAAATATAATGAGTTTAATGTGATGTTAACGAAAATCTGCAGAGCGAAGATTTTTCATAGAGAATATACTTTGCAGAATATCTATTAAAAGTTTGCAGGAAATATTAGACACAATATCTAGATGATCTTTTAATAGTATACTTGTTAAAAGGGCAAATCTTCTAGATTCTAGTGAGCGAATATCATCAGACACAGATTGTAAGAGATTAGAGTTTATCTACGCAATTCATTGTTCTTTCTATTTCAATGAAGCTCCACCTGTTTTGATGCAAAATAGTATTTCGCCATCTCACATGTTTTTGTACTTCAGTATGTTGCTCTCCTTGTTTCAATGTAATTCATTTCTCCTTCTTTCAAGATTCTCTTCCTTTCGCTATCTTTGACATCCAGGTTCTCTCCCCCTTTTTGTTATCAGCAAAAAGAACGTACAATAGACATCATAGAGAACTTTCATTAATAAGGCAGTCAAACATGAGTAGATAGGTACAACTGTTCTAACATCAAACATAAGCAAAGGAAAACATAAGCAGATAATAGAAGTTAGGTGCGATGGCGTTTTCTTTGCTGGGTGGTGGAGGGTTGAACAATTGGTTCCTTAGGGTCAGGCCGGGCAGGTTGTAGCAATCTAAGCTAAGCAATGTTCGTTCAATTTTCACCAAGTACTTTATGAGAGACGTGATGGAACTTTTGATGTCCTGAACATCAGCTTGAAGCGGGAGTAACCAATGATTCGGCAGGAGAAGAGGACCTCTCTAGTCTTGGTGGACGATCAGACGACCGTTGTGTGGTTGCCTTGCCTTTCCCTTTGCTGGATGATGCAGCCTGTGTTGCTAGCTTTTCTTGAAGAATCTTCTTCGTTTTTTCATCATCTCCTTAACCTACTTGAACAGCTTCATTCTTCTAATTGACCTATCCTTCAGGCGTCATTCTGAGCATCATTTTATCCGAAGTCTTTTGCCCGATTTCCACATAAGACATGCTACGAGGTGCAACATTATAGAAGTCGATGTGCTTGTGCTTGAAGATGCGAGTGATGAGGGCACCGTAGGGTAGCTTGCCTGTCTTGTGTTTGGCAGTTCAGTACATGTGGATGAAAATCATGTGTGCTAGGGAAAAATCTTCATATTTGGTGAGAATAGCCCAGATGACTTGTGCTTCATAACGAGATACATCATTGATTGAGGATGATTTGGGGCGCAGGCAAAGGGTCATGATTTTCTAAATGAAGTTTTCTTTGAGAGGTAGTAGGTACAAGGGAACAATTTTTCTAGAGCCTCAAGTAAAATCAGGAGTTTCCAAAATGAAACTGTATGCAGTGTCTGGCTCAACAGGAATCTTTTTGAAAATTTTGAACTCGGTGTTGATGATTTCGGCTAATTCATCTAAAGCGACATTGTAGTTTTTCTTGGCAAAAGAGAAGATGAAGATGTCGTTTCAGGCAACCAAATTTCGCGGTTACTGTTCATTACAGAATGTTATCGCTCTCTAATGGGTTCCCGCTGGCACTGTTCACCCGATCGTCCTTCGCCGGTTCCGGTTGATTCCGGCGACCTCTAAGGCTGATTTTTGGAGGATAGGCCGCCTGGACGCCCCTCATCTACCCCTCCGCAGGTCGTCTCTCATCGTCCAGCACTGACGTTGGATTCCAAGATCTGATCGTCGTTGGGGTGGACTCCCTTCGCACGAGAAGCTCGGCTGAACTGAGCCTTGGGTTCAGGTTTGGTTTCCTGCTGGTTTTTACCTGGATTTCGAGCTATTCTGGTCTCCTTTCTTCAGTGTTGGAGCTGGTGTTGTGGTCTGGTACTTGCTCTGCACTGCAACTTTCGGTTTTCAGATTGAAGTGTCTCCCTATTCTGGTTGTTGTTGCTGGCGGATTGATTGGAGTTGGTTGAGGTCCTGGATAGGTCCATTATATTTCTGCTGAGTGGGTGTGATAAGCTGGTGCTTATATTGGAGATCATACTGATATGTACAACATCCCTTCCCCTGGTCCTAGCATCTTTGACTGGTAGGTGCTTGTGTATTTGTCCACATGGAGACAACTAATCAATCGTCTGTATCTCCGTTGGTTCTGGATGCTGACCCTCCTCCTGATGCCGAGACACAACAGGAGGTAAATGGTGCTGCGTTTCCTAAGCCTTTACAAGGTATTGCTAGTCCCTCTAGGACAGCTGAACCTAGGGATAAATCAGTAGCTTTCACCAGGTCTGGCCCCCCGTCTGGTACCAGCTTCTTCTCCAAAGACAATGTTGGACGTAGTCGCAGTAGAGGTCGATCGAAAAGTCGGCACAACTCCCCTAGACCTGGACACATTGCTAGTCCTCCTGGTGGTATTGATCTCCGGAAAAATGCAGCAGGCTTCGGCAACAAGGGGAGACAGAATAGGAGCAGGTCCCTCAGGCGTGCTGGTCGGCCTCAACCTGATACTGCTGGAACTTCCAATGTTGCTGGACAGATTCCTAACAAGGCCCACGAGCAGCATCCTCCTGGCCCTAAAACCAGATCTTGGGCAAATGTTGCTAGAGTTTTAACTAAAGGGTATAGACTTACTTATGTACCGCCACGGGTGGTGGATGGTGAAGAGATCGTCGATATCACTCCGCATATAGCCGCTGCCGAGAACCCCTTTTGGCCGGAATGTGTTGTAGGCCGCTTCATAGGAAGAAAGCCCCCTTCAAGCTGACTGAAGAGGCTATAAGGAAGTCATGGGGGGATAAAGTTGCTGAGATCAAACTACATGAGAATGGCTTCTATTTTTTCCGTGTTCCTGATAATGAATTCCGCAGAAAGATCATTGACTCGGGGCCGGTTTCTATATTCAGCTGTACCTTGGTATTACAACAATGGCATTCCAAGCTTAAACTCAAGAAAGGAATTCTGGAGACTATCCCGGTCTGGGTAAGACTTAGAGATGTTCCTCTGTCCTTATGGTCTCCTATGGGCATTGGCAGCATAGCAAGTGCTATTGGCAAACCTCTGTACGTGGATATTCACACTGAACAGATGACCAGGATCTCATTTGCGCGAGTATGTGTTGAACTCAAAGCCACTAAACCAAGAGCTGAGCAAGTTAAGTTCTGCTGGGATGGTGAGATGAACACTATTAATGTTGAATATGAGTGGAAACCGATGGCTTGCCCCTCTTGCGGTATCTTTGGACATAAAGAGGGATCCAATGGTTTTGATTGTGGTTCTGTTCAGGCCATTAACAAGGCTGTGGACACTACTGCAGGCCCTTCTCATAATGTCCATAAGTCTGGTCATGATATGCAACTCCAAAGGACTGAAGGGTGGGTTCAAGTCCAGTCCCGAAAAGGTAAAGCCCCGGCTGCTAAGCATGTCCCTGCTCCCAGCCTTTCCCCTTCAGCGACTACTGATGCTCACGAACAGTCCCCTTCAGACTTGCTGGAACCTCAGATCCCGGTAAACACACAATCAGCTTTCGCCTCTGACCCTGTTCAGATTCCTCCCTCGACGGCTGCTGTTCCTGACCAACTGCCCTTGTTCCTCCGACCAGCACAGCACTCCATTGGGACAGAATGCCAGACTTCTGCCCCATATCCCTCTATGGGACCCGATAGAGAAGCCAATGAGGTGGGGCCATCCCAAGACCTTCAGGTGGGCCAGACTCAAACCACTGCTCAGGAACCAGCTGGAATTACTGATCAGCAGACTATGGCTCATCTACACACTTCACTGGACTCCACTGAAGACTCCTCTGATTCCCGGGCAGTAATGGAGGAGTCTAGTACCTCAGAAGACAGGATGGGAGTGGAAGCAGCTGCTGTGTCCCCCCCCAACACCAGATCTCGCGCGTTTGCATCTAGTGTTTCTGAAGAGATACCGAAACCCTCTCTTGGGGCTACACTTAGTTCGAAATGCCCTATGAGTGCTCCTAGTCTGTCCTCCTCAAAAAAGAAATCTAAAAGGAGGAGACCAAGGAAAGCTCAGAGATAGTTTCCCTTCTTCCTAAATGTTTTTTGGAATAT